AACAAATTTATCTCATAGAATCTGAATAGAAGGGTGTTTACTGGAGGCTGGAGAAATGAAGAGAGGGATAAGGATTTTTTGATCAGCCATAAATTCAATTTTATAGGGACATGACGCTCTGTTTTGCAATGGCATGGTTGGTAAAATGGTTTAACAATATGTTGTGTAATTCAAACACCTATACATAAGTATTTTGAATTTTCTACAATAAATTAATAGCAAATGTTTAATGAGGCATGTGTTGACAACCTGATTTATACAGAAGGCAATATATACTTGCATTGACCATTACAAAGTAATACACATTTTCATCTTAGTGTGTATCAATCAAGAGGTAAAATTTTTAATTTTTAAAAAAAAATTATTTTATTATGTGCACATGAATGTTTTGCTTCCATGTAAGTGCACCCATGTCGTGCAATGCCCAAGAGGCCGGAAGAGGGCGCTGGATTCCCTGGAAATGAAGTTACAGACAGCTGCTATTCACCATGTGATTCCAGGAACTGAACGCGGGTTTTCTGCAAGAGCAGCCAGTGCTCTTAGATGCTGAGACATCTCCAAGAGGTAATTAAAAGGAAAAAAAAAAAGAGGAAAAATTGGGAAATAAAGTCATCAATCAAAAAAGAAGTTTAGTGAAACAGTATTAAAAACTCAAGGCCTCATTTGACTAATGATAGTGCTCAAATCCTAGGAGCAAATTGCAGTGATAATGAGTGATCATTTTCATTTGAAAGGTTTGTAGTAGTGCAGGGACACAGGCAATCACATTAACTCTCAATGAAATCAAACTGAAGGAGCAGAGAGGGCTCTCTGGCAATGCTATAATTGAGACTACTCATGTCTTTTGTCTTAGGCATTTTTTTTCAAGGAAAATTTATACAAAGTATGTACTCATATGCACTTAAAGATATATTGTTTCATAAATTTTGTAGGCTGCTTTTCACACAAAACATCATGCACCAAGTATTATTAGGAATTTCGACAAAGAAACGAAGGGTGCAGTATGTATCACTGATGACATAAATATATAGGGAACCATTGTGATGATACAAAGTAGTTAAACACTGATATTTGCAAATCCAGGAATGAAGCCAGGTGTGGTGACCTATGCATTTAATTTATGCACTCAGGAAGCAGAGGCAGACAGATTGCTGTGAGATCATGCCCAGTCTCATATGGTCTACATAAGGAGAACCAGGCAAGCTGGGGATGCATACATAGCTCTGAGATCTTGCTCAAAAAACCAAAACCAAAAAAATCAAAACAAAAAAAATGAAAAACAAAACAAGGGATGATCTTGGGATACAATAGGTGGAAAGGGGGAAAAGGAATGTAAAAATACAATTCTTTCTGGAATGATAATATTACATTTTTCAGTACGTTTAAAAGATCAAAAGGAGCTTTTAAAGCTGGTAACTATAGTTACAGGAAGCAGGATGGGAATAATTGTAAAGAGCAAATGTTAAAATGAAACTTTAATTTCTAACTTGATAGACATAAATAATTTGAAATGCTTAAAGTTATTCTCAAATGACACTATTCTGACATATTTAAATTCTTTTACTTTTCCTCTCTTAATCTCATTCTTCTCTGTTTTCATAAATTGAAACATTTAAAAATTCATTTCTAATATTTTGGCACTTTGTTTTCTAAACATTTAACATAAGTATCACAAGAAGAAGGGCATTATCCTAAATAGTTAAAATATTATCTTGAAACAAAGGAACCTAATATTTGACTATTTATATAATCCAAGAAGCAGGTCATATAAATTGCTGCACAATTGACCCAAAATGCCCTTTATAGGTTCCTGTTTTTTAAGTTTCAGGATTCAATCAAGGCATTTATATTATGTATGCTTACCATACCACTTTATTATCTTTGATTATCTTAGATCTGTCTTATGATTTGACCTCTTTAATAAACCCGTACTTACCTACCACAGTTACAATATATTTCGATTATATTATATCCCTTCTCATATCTTCACTCCTTAGCATGCGTTATTTATAACCCAACTCTTTGAGTTCCTTATGGTGGTGCTGGTGGTGGTGGTGGTGGTGGTGGTGGTGGTGGTGGTGTGTGTGTTTTAAAGTCCTTGAATTCCTTGATTATTGCTCCTCATTAACTTGTCTTTAACCTCATCCCTCTCCCTGCCAATCTTCCTCTCCAAAAATAGACCATCCCCAGTTTATTCTCTTTTAAAAAGTTTCAATGTTCTACAAATGAAAGAAAAGGCATTATTTGTCTTTTTGAGTCTAGGTTATTTTAGCATGATGATCTCTCGTTCCTTCCATTGTCCCACAAATAATGTAATTTTGTTCTTTATTAATGAGTAAAACATATATATATATGTATATAGGCATATATACTCAAAATATATCACAATTTGTCTAGTCATCTGTTCATGGAACCTATGCTGATTTTCTGGCTTCTCAGTTATGAACAGTATAGTGTTAACCATGGAAATGAAAGATATCTCCTATTTGCTGACCTAAATTCTTTGGGATATATATACATATCTCATATATATATATATATATTCAGAAGTTGTATAGCTGAATTGTATGGTAAGTTTACTTTAAGATATTTTGGGAACCTTCATACTGATTTCTATAACAGTTGTATTATTTTACATTCCCAATGACAGTATGTAAAGGTACATATATCTCTCATATCTCATCAGCACTTTATTTACTTATTTAACTTGATGATATTCATTCTGGCTGAGATGATATGTCAGCTCATCAGAGTTCTGATTTACATTATTGTAGTAATCAATGATGTTGAATAATTTTATGCAGGTTTATTACTCATATATACTTGTTCAAATAATTTTCCCATTTTTTGATTGAACTATTTTCTTTTGTGGTCACTAGGTCCTTCTTTCTATATTCTGGATATTAATTCCCTGTCAGATGACCAGATAGGACAGATTTTCTCCCATTCTTTAGGGTAACTCTTCATTCTTTTGAAATCCTTTACTATGAAGAAGCTTTTTAAAGTTCATGCAACCCCATTTGTCAATGTGTGTGTTTGTGTAGACACACATTCACATATACATTGTTGGGCTCCTTTTAGAAATAATATGGAAAGAAACAGATATTGCCATAACCTAAACAACTCTCTACAGTAAGAATTTGCACATGAACCTCCTAAATATGTAACTGCAGTTTAGACTTCACATTTGTTTTTTTGATCTATGAAAAACCAACAGTTTCCCAGTTTTATACCCAACATAACTTTCAAATATAACCTCTTAAGGTTACCTTTTTGAGTCATTTTATTACGGCATGTAGATTATTAATGTAGCACTCTGGCATGGGTCAGGGATACAACAATTTACCGTTTGTATCGTCTTTTCACAGACAATGTATTTTTAAGGCTCCTCCTTTTCCTCATTACAATAATTTAGAAATGTTTAGGATACAAAAAGCACATCAACCAATTAGAAACAAATGGTTAATGAAGACAGCCAACAGCAAGCCTAATGGAGATCTAAAAGTAACTAAAGCAATTTGACCTAATAGGTTGGTCTTGGAAGCTTACCCTCCAGAACTGTGAGAAAGTCTGTTTCTATTGTTTAGCCACCAGAGCTATGCATATGTTTTTGCTATAGCAACCTGAACAGACATACACTTAGATTGCTTATGTTCAACACAAGAATTAGTTGACCAACATGCTTTCACTGAAAACACTATTAAAGACTAATTTATTATTATGAAATCATTTGCTTTTTTTTTCCTGTAAGTTTTGGTACTATCTGGGGACAGAAAAGTAAGCAGTGTGCCCTGAGGTGTGAAACTCTATAGACAAAGGGGAATTGTGATGGTTAATTTGACTGGACTATGAGATGCTCATACATTTGATTAAATATGTGATTAAAAATAAATAAATAAAATAAACAAGCAGGGCGTGGTGGAAAATAACTTCAATCCTGGCATTTGGGAGGCAGAGGCATGCAGATCTCTATGAGACTGAGGCCATTCTGGTCTACATGATGAATTCCAGACCACTTGAAATACAGAAAGACCCTGCCTGAAAAAAATCAAAAAAGAATTAAAAATAAATAGGGTCTGGAACAATGGCTCTGCAGTTAAGAACACTGGCCGCTCTTACAGAGGACTCGGGTTTGATTCCCAGCACCCAGATGATGACTAACAACCTACTTAACTCCAGTTCCAGACAATCCCATGCCCTCTTCTGATCTGGCAGGACATTGCCCAGCACAGGTACATTTACACACATGCAGGCAAAACACTCATACACATAAAATAAAAATAAATAAAAAATTAAAACTAAATAAAAATATTTAAATGATTTATCATTTTGTAGTAAAGTTAGTGACTTAGTTCTGAAGTTAAGTTGGATTTTATTTCTACATATATTATTTACGTGGTAGGAATTGCTTATTTCTTTTAGTTTCCTTATATACAAAGCAAGGATGTTAAGACTGCATACAGTGTATAGTTAATAATATACATTGTATAGTTAATAATAAAATCTGATATTATAGCTTCAAATAGACAGGGATCTGCTAATAATTTATGCATATAATCAGATATAAACTTCATGATAATTAACAGAGTATATTCTTTCATCTAATACTCACATTTGAAAAAATAAGGGATCATAAAGTTTGCTAACTTATCCAAAAGTGCACAACTGGTGATCAGTGTAAGCTGCACTCTAGGATTTTTTTACAGAATGCCCACACTATTCCCAAACCTCTGTATCAAATTGTATTATGCAAGGTTAAATGACAAAAAGGCTTAACAAGTCCCCTAGAAACATATAATAAATACCTAAGAAATATTAGTTAACTGCAAAAGCAAAAGGGCTTTTAGAGTTTGAAAAATATTTCTGCTGCTTTGTAAAATTAATTTTTGTGATAATAAAGTGTGTTTTGCTCTTTCTCTTAGGATTCTTTGTGAATTTAGGGACGATGTGTTCTGGTAGCTGGATATGAGCTTAGTTTTTTTTTTTTTTTTTGCCCAGCTGCATGTTTGTTTCTGATGAATTGTCCATTACATTTCCAAATTTCTGAAATGGCCACCAGACCATAGAAAGACATTTCTTTAGGCACCTGCTTGAAACCAACACCTTCAATAAACTCTTAGCCTTGATTCAGAGTCAATGAGCTTAGTATTTTTATTAAAGAGAAATTTCAGATTTAAGGAAATAATAAAATGTGTGAAACATAATCTAAAATTGTTAGACAAATATTACCCACAAATTAAAATCATGCAGCTTTCACTTTAAAATATAGACCTTGGAGAAAAGCTTCAACCTGAAACCATGGAAAGAACATTAAACTACTATCATTCAACTCTACATTTCATTAAGTCTTACCAATTTATAGTAAGATTATATACATATCTAAATATAATTACTTTAGTAATAAATCAGTCTCAGGAGATAAAATACAGCAAATATGCCATGATGATATAAAATGAACTCATTTTCTGAAAGTATCAAGATATTGAAGTCTGATATTTCTCTAGTATCTGCAAAGGGAATTCTTTTTAATGTAATCTTATGACATTTTTGGTGTTCCCTGTGACTTACTCAATAGACCACAATGATTTCAGTACTTGGGGTGTAATCAAAGGCTTTTTGTAGTCTCCACAATCATACTGTCAATGAGTTACTTCGCAGACAAGTAGAACAATGCCATTTTTAGAATTATTATAAAAGTTTCTTGAAGCCATTCAGCTAATGCTCTACATTTATTAATCCTGTTGTAGCTGAATTTAGTTGTACACTAGAGACACTCATTAAATTTTATGAGAGAAAAGATAATCTAGCATTTCCTGAGAGAGTACAGAATAATATGGAGTCTTAAAGTTTAAAGACATGAAAGTATTTATACTGCATTATGTTAAAGAAATTTACATCTGATATCTTAAATATTTAAAAAGCATGTATAAAGAAACAGCTCTAATTTATTTTTCATGGCTCAGGAGTATAGGACTCTGTTCAGATGGTGAAAGTTAGAGAAGCAAGTATCAACATAATTTAAGGAGTCCCCTACACACACTCTCTCTCTCTCTCTCTCTCTCTCTCTCTCTCTCTCTCTCTCTCTACTAGCTATCAACATGGGAATTGAATCCAGAGTCTCACACAAGCTATGCATGTCTACTAATCCTGGACTATGCTTACAGCCTCTAATAGCTAATTTTGTAATGAATAAAGTTGATTGAATGACCTACTGCACATTTATTGATATTTTTATTACAAGTTATCAAATAGAGGAGTGTATAGAAAAATTGGAGCATTTCCTGTTGGTAGTGAAAAGTATTTCAAATTCACGAACTATCTATTTAAGGAATTATAAGATCATTGATAATACACTTGTTCATGCAGCAAATCATTCCTTCATTTATCTAGAAATGTTTATGAGTGTCTGATCAACTGTACTTTTCTAGGTTATAAAATAAATGGGGCCCTTGATCTCATGAGACTTACATTATGATAATGTATCTGTTAAATATCAATAAATAAATGCATGGAGGTCTTAATTTTTAATGTTGAAAGTGGTTTGAAAATAAAGGCAAAGTGGAAAAATAAAAGCTTAATGTACATAAGTACAAGAGTATGCACTAATAAAAGGTATTTGGTTTGGTCTTATTGAGGCAATGGTATCTGAGGAGAAATAGAAACCTTAAAAAGGAGACAAAGTGAGTAATTCTGGAAGAACATTCCCATAAACAAGAAAAGAAGTTACAACTATGATAAAATAGGTCAGTGTAGTGAGGACAAAGGGATCAAGGCTCTCAAGAGTAAAGAATGAGTAGAAAGAGGCCCGAATATACAGTACTCAGAGATGAACATAAAGTGTCTGTAAATCGTAAGAAGAACGGTAGAAACACAGCGAGAGTATTAATCTGGGAGTGAAAATGTTGTGATGATTTTAATTGCGTTAAACATATTGAATTATTATTAGTCACAACCACAAGCTGTTAAAAAGCGAATACGGAGTGATACTG